TGCAATTGCCATGAAGTTGGCTTTGATCCTGTGTAGTTGTTGATTGTCCAAAGGAAACCGGATAAACTGTTGGATGATATGTGGTCTAGAGAGCGCGTTGATGGTTTGGTTTATGGCACGGCTGACTGATGGTTGCGATATTCCTAAATCGTCGGCATTGCAAAGTTGCATTTTCCCTGTTGCTAAATATCGTAGTGTTGCCAAACATTTTATTTCCAGACTAATCAGGTTATTCCTGTTAGTCGGGGATGTTATTGCATCCCGCACTAATTCCACAAGTTTGATACCCTCACGATTTAGCCTATATCTCTTGATCAATTCACAGTCTTCCATTGTCTCCAAAACATTTCGTCTCGCAGCCATTTTCAGATTCTTTGTGAATAGGTCTTACTGAGTTAGGAGTCCTCTCAAGGACTTTTAAGCTCTCCTAAACTTAGGTGCTACTTTTAGTCCTAAAATACTTTGTGAATTGCTCTTAGTGAATAAAATTAGGAGTCCTAAATTTAAGACTGACACGCCCATTATGTTTAGGAGTTTCTCCTAAATTCGCCAGTTAGGAGCTACTTTTAGCCCTAAGATCCTTTGTGAATACGGCCCCAGATCTACCACAGAAAATATACCAGGGTGTATTTTANTCCCACAAACGAGCCCACTAAATCACCGAAAAACAAGGAAATAGCCTAGGATTCTGCTAACTGCACTGTCCATAACTATTTGATAGGAATACATTTCTAGCCTAGGCTATTTCCTTGTTTTTCGGTGATTTAGTGGGCTCGTTTGTGGGATGTTGCGGATGAGTTTCACCGAGACCGCCTACTCTGAACAACCAATCACCGTACTGACCGCTTCTAAACTCATGCACGAGAATCGACGTAATCCATAGCAACGGCGCGTCACTCTTAGTTCACTCTTAGTGATTTATCCTTAGTATGAGTAGGTCTCAGCGGCTTTGTGAATAACTTTTAAGAAAAAACTCCTACGTAAAATGTTTTAGCGCGAGTTAGGAGCACTCCTAGCGGTAAGATAAAATGCTTTGTGAATACGGCCCCAGAAGAACATCTTCTGAGGCGATGCAGGGGTTGATTTGTATTCAAAACAGTCTTTTCATTGAGGAAAACAGTATCTCTGTTTCGAACCATTCACGTATTTAGTCGCCTGAAATGTTTAGTGAAACATTCTGAAATGTATGCGAGCTGCTCAAATTTGAAGCATGTTCTGTTCAGATTGAGTACTGTACAAGAATGACATGAATTTGCGTAGCTGACCTTACTGGTGAAATCGTGTCTGTTGTGGTAAAAACAGTCATTTGCAAAATAGCAAGAAAAGTGGGGCGTCCTGGTTACCAGTTTCTGTAACATTGTTGTAGCACTCTGATGTGTTTGCAGGATTTACTGAGAGGTTTGGCCTTTGTGTCTGTAGGAAGCAGACATCGAGCATCGGACCCAGTCACTGAAGCGGGAGGGCTTCTGGTCAACGAAGCGTCTCACCCGCCTGACGGAGCCGCCGCGACCCAAAGTTCACTGGGACTACCTGTGTGAGGAGATGCAGTGGCTCTCTGCAGACTTCGCTCAGGAGAGGCGCTGGAAGAGAGGAGTGGCTAGAAAGGTAGGTTCAATGTTTTTGTTCCCAGAAATGTTAGTGTTTCACAAGCTTTATTGAAATAATAAGTATATTGTATATATGTTTTAAGTTGTGTTATTTTGTCACGTTATTAGGTGGTCCGAATGGTGATGAAATACCACGAGGAGCTAAGGCAAAAAGAAGAAAAAGCCAAGCGAGACGAGCACTCTAAGATCAGAAGAGTCGCCTCTTCTATCGCCAAGGAGGTCCGGGCTTTCTGGAGCAGCGTGGAGAAGGTACAGATGAGACAAAAACAAGCAAACAAAACATTCTGCTCAGCTGTGGAATTAGAAGAGACCACGGTCTAGTGTTTGAATGTTTTTGTCACAGAAAGAAAATGCACTTGTAGGAAAATAGAATACATATTAACTATTTAAAAAAAGATTTTGCATCAAAATAAATTATTAACTTTAAGGCATAAATTAAAAATGCTAACTGAAAATATAGTCTGTAGAAGAAGCCTTTTTAAACCTACACTTGTTTTACTTGGCATACACTTATAGGCAACTCTTTCATTATTGCTTTACAAATAAAATACATTCCTTTGCATTTCTTATGTTGGTAAGATTAGGCGCTTTCACACCAAGTACTTTGCCGTACTTCGTTCCCAGTACTTAGTTCATCAGAACTCTTTAGTTCTGATGAACTAAAGAGCAGATCGCGTTCACACCGGAATAAGTTCCTGGGGAAGGATTAGTCAAATGAAGCCGCTGACGTCACTTCTCCTTCTGCTTTGGGTTTACTGGCAGGCCGCAAACAACTTCACGGCGTATACTGCCGCCCGAAGTCCCCGGCCGGATGATTTTAGACAATTTAAAATTATTTATGTGTGCTTCCTAATCTAGGCAAAATTAAGTTTTCTTAATTTAGTCAAGAATTGGTCACGGCTAATTAAAGTAAAAGTCACCGCTTGTTAAGAGTACTTCTGTTTTGTCCATAAAGGTGGTTCAGTACAAGCAGCAGTCCAGACTGGAGGAGAAGAGGAAGAAGGCTTTGGACCTTCAGCTGGACTTCATTGTCGGACAGACGGAGAAATACTCGGACCTCCTCAGCCAGTCGCTTGCACCCACCGGACCTGCCGAAGCTGAACCTGAACCTGAGCCTGAGCCTGTCACAGAGACTCTCCCAAAACCTGCGACACCTGCCGCTGATGAGGAGGGTGAGAAAGTGTTTTTTTTATTAAAGAAATACCCTTCCCCTCATAAAAAAAGCTCACTGTCTCCATGTTAAAGCACTGAGTGTGTTCATAGCTGAATCATTGGTTGAGACGGTGACGTTGTCATAGCTACACACCAATGATTCAATCTTTTTAAAGGCACACAAAGGTAAAATGTTTCATGGAGGCAAAAAGCTGTCAAGGACATTGCATATCTGAGAGACTTGTTCTGTGCAAATCCAACGTGATGAGCTTGAATGTAATAGCAGTGAGGATGTTGAGGTTAATATTCGTCAGTGCAGTAAAACGCTTCTTGGCACATCTCCAGTGCACCTTACTGAGCACTGCTTGTGAGCCGTCAAGCTGGAGACTTGTCAAACCTGTCAGACTAGTCTGCTGCACCGTGTTATCAATGGCACTTGATTCTTTAAGCAAGCCAGACTTAAGTGTAAGGCTTTGTTCAGTCAGAGGAAGGACAAACGTGCCAATCCCTAAAGGAATGATTACCCACACCATGTTTCCTTGACTTCCTATAAATAAAACTTTGTTCTTGAATTACTTCACTATTCCTACTGTGTAAACCACTTCCTAAAAAACGATCTCATGCTTGTGTAGGCACACTTGGCTTCCTCAGATTCCTTGTTGACCATGTGAGAAAAAACTTGGTATTATTAGAGAATTCAGGTTGCCTAAGGGATAGTTAGTGATCCTGTCTTTTAAAGATCTTGCAATGTTTTAGTGGTATTAAAAGGAAATTACATTAAACAATCTCAAGCTTAACGAACCCAGGTTTAATATTCCACGTATCGACTGTGTCTGAACCATATTACTTCCTGAAGCCATAATAACGAAGCATTTATTGGCTTTGCAAATGGATGTACTATATGGTCTAGATACATTATACATCTTTTTTTTCTTCCTTAGAGATGTGAACAATAATTTTTCCTTACAAAACCGTTCTTGTTTCTTGGTGCAGACAGAGACTTTGAACCTCCCTGTGAGGAAGAGGATGATGAACAGACCTTAGATGTGGAGGAGCAGCAGGAGGGCAATGATGCCGAGAGCCATCGGAGGGAGATTGAACTGCTGAAGGAGGAGGGCATGCTGCCCCTGGACCAATTACTCAGCACCATCAAACTGGCTCAGGTACAGCCACTAAACGGATTGGACCTGAATTATTGTCAAATGGCATAAGATCACTGAACACAGTTATATTTTGGTCACAAGCTCTTCAATTCAAACATTGACATATACCTATAGGGTTCATCTTTTCTGTCCATTAATTGCTGATCATCACGTTTAGAAATGTATAATCTAAATAAAACCTAATTCTAGTGCTCCAACATGTAAATGACTTAATTCCATCATAACATTCAACGGAACACACACCTAATACACACATTGCATTTATTCTGATACACACTCTTATTATCCTAATACACACTCTTTTAAAAATGGCAACAATCAAACTTCAGGGCAATCCAGATGGGCTCATCTTTTCCCCTTGAAATAATGATTTTAGGATATTTTATTTAACTGGGATTGATGCTCAAAACATGACTGATCATTTATTTACAATTGCTAACTGAAAATCGCCCTCTATTTTGTGGAACGTGAATAAAATTGCCTGAAAAGTAGTGTTTTTTTTATTGGGTGCCTTTTATACAGGTCAAATGTGTTTGCATTTAATTGAATCACTGAATCGTTACATAGGAGTCGGTCTCAGATGGAGAATGCTCTGATGAAAGCTCTTCATCAAAGGTGAAGGAAGAGGAAGATGGTGAATTCACTGCCAACGAAGAGGATGGTAAGACGGATCTCATTATAAGATGCGGGGAAAAGATGCACACATGTATTTAGTTGAATGACCTGACATTTGTCTATTATTGATGTAATACTGGTTTACTCTGTCTTCCCATTTTCAGCTAAGGATGAGGAGGACACCATAGATGACCAGGAGAAGGTGGAGGGAGATGTGAACCATGCAGAGGAACTTGATGACTTGGCCAGAGAAGGTACTTGGCATGAAATAGCAATGGGAGTTGCTCACGTTGAATAGCCTATTGTAGATACTTTGTGTAATCGTTTATACATTTTGTTTAATTCCTCTCATCTTTGTTGAAGAGCTTCCTTTTCCTGATAAGGTGTGTATAGGAATAAACGTACTCAATTTTTTAATCTCTTCCAGAATTTATGTAATGGTTAGGCGAGCAATTATGACAAAAAAAACAATCTGGTTTCCTCCTGAATGTTTTAGATTACAAAATCTGAATGGCAATGGCACGCCGAACCAAAGGGAGAGATGCCAACAAAAACTAGTTTGGGTCAATATCACCATACAACATATACAAAAAAGATTTAGGGCATAAAGTATTTTGACAAGATATTCATGGTTTCTAGTATTGTTTTTATTTAGCTGAAAATAACACAGATGACACTTATCTCCATTCACACAAAAAAACGACCTAAAAATGACAGATTAAATAAACATATTCTATGTATGCTCATACGTACACTGGTGGCAAAGGTCATTTCAGGATTGATTAACACTCCCATGCAGTTTGCAACGTCTAGTGACCCTCTTATGGGTAGATGATGCACATTTAATATAGGTGAAAACATATATAAAGTTGGCTATATGTAGAATTATAAGTGCAGAATTCTAGTTTGACAAAAACTGATCCTAAAACCTCTCCTTGCAGTGTTGTTGCCCTTCTTCAAACTGCTGTGTATTGTGTATATGCCATTTAATTCACACTAAGCCGTGCCCTGTTTAAAAACCATGAGCAGTAAACATCCGCCCTGACATATCTCTGCTTCCCTTGTAGGTGAAATGAGCGTCGAGGAGCTGCTGGAGAAGTACAAAGGAGCGTATGCATCTGACTTTGAGGCTCCGTCTGGATCTGGCTCTAAAGAGAGTTCTGATTCGGAGGTGTCTGGGGATGAGGAGGAGGAGACTGAAGAAGATGAGAGTGATGTGGAAAGCAACTCTTCCTCTTCAGGTATTAACCGCTCACAAATATTCTCAAATAATCTTGTATACATCGTTTATTTGACCCATTTCTTTCTGCTTTGCAGAACTGTTTGCTGCTTTTAAACTACTCAAATTAAATATTAAATGAGTTACTCTTTCAAATGTGCTTTTTTCAGATTCAGCAGGAGAAAGCAGGGAAGATGATGACAGTGAGAAAGAAGAAGAGGGGAGTGAGGAAGAAGAAGAAGAAGATGATGGCTGTGAAGATGAAGGGATGGAGGTTTTGCTGAAGGAGGGAGACAACAGCCCACCTTCTTCCAGCTCACGACCAAAGAAAGAGATCAGCCACATCGCTGCCACTGCAGAGAGCCTGCAGCCTAAGGGCTACACTTTGGCTACTGCAAAGGTCAGCCTAAAATATTCAAGTGTTGCTCTTTTTAATGACAAAAGAAAACGTTATATCTTTTTATATTAGAAGAATAGGGCTGCAAGTAATGATTTTATTCATTTTTTCATGTTTTCTTTTAAATTGTTTGGCCTGTAAAATGCCCTAAAATATTTTACATTTCCATCCAGTTCCTGGTCGCGAGGGTTAGGTCTTTTAAATGTCTCGTTTTGAAAGTCCAATACCCAAATGTATACATTTTGAATATAATTCCAAACATGAAAAGCATTGAATCTCCATATTTGAGAGACTGAAAACAGCTTTTTCTTCCATTTTCTTCCATTTCTGCATGAAATACAGTGGGGCAAAAAAGTATTTAGTCAGCCACCAATTGTGCAAGTTCTCCCACTTAAAAAGATGAGAGGCCTGTAATTTTCATCCTAGGTATACCTCAACTATGAGAGACAAAATGAGAAAAAAAAATCCAGAAAATCACATTGTCTGATTTTTAAAGAATTTATTTGCAAATTATGGTGGCAAATAAGTATGTGGTCACCTACAAACAAACAAGATTTCTGGCTCTCACAGACCTGTAACTTCTTCTTTAAGAGCCTCCTCTGTCTTCCACTTGTTAACTGTATTAATGGCACCTGTTTGAAGTCGTTATTAGTATAAAAGACACCTTATATCCGTTAGCGTAGCTCGCTAGCACCAGAAGCTAACAACAACGATCTCCGGTACCGGTGCGCTCTCTCTCTCTCTCACTCGCCACGCACACAAAATGGCTCGTTCCACACACACACAGAGCCGAGCTTTAATGAAACACAGAGACCCATACGTAATAGTACTGTATGATATTATTTTCGAATCAATAATTTTTCCAAATATGATTTTTTTATTTTTTTTATTTAATTTTTAAATAACAATTTTTCCTCCTGGTCTCTCGCGCCCCCCCCCTGTCATGCCTCTGCACCCACCACTTTGAGAACCACTGCTCTAGACTGACAAGAGAATTATCGCAGATCTTTTGAACAAAATTTGCTCTTACAAATACTTTTTAGATAGTATTTGGAAATATTTATTCTGCACTAGATATTGACAATTGTCTGTCCTTTGCCTTTCTGTGTATTCAAGCTTTACAATTTCAAACCCCCTGTTATAGTCCTGGCACATACTGTGTTGCTATCACGCAGTTAGTGTGTGTATTTATGTGTGAGTTTGCATCAAAGCAATCAGCTGACATACTCTAACTCTGCCAGCTTGGGCCTGTGTGTTGTCTTCAGCACCCGCTGTGTACTCCCGTTCCCGAGGCTGTGCACGGCTCTGCATATCGTAACTCTGTGACAGTGCCAGTTTCTGTGTGGCTCTGTGCTAATGGTTTCCTTTGAATCATAAATTAGACTTGAAAGGAGGGAGAGGATGAGCACATGATTGAGGACTGAGAGGTACAGAGTCAGCTTGATAGATTTTTCTATCATTAATACAGATTGTCTTGCCACAGAGCCTCTATCAGGATAAGGTAATTAATTACATTGATTTCATTTGTCAGTCAAGTATTTTATCAGAGTGTAGTCTTGATTCAGTGTGCATGTGTGTGCCTGCTATAGAGAATTAGCCGGGTCACACAAGGGCCTGTCAAAGCACTTTGTCTGTAATTAAAGACTGTCTGGCGGCAGCATGTTTCCTATTAGGCCACCAGTATCACATCCCAGCCATGTGACTCTGGCACTGTACCCCTGTTTAATAAAGTTGAACAGAAACACTCAAACATTTGTTTGTGGCAGTCTAATAGCAATTGTTTTTTTGAGCAGGGGTGCGTTCCTCTTGAAATCTCCAGAATGATTTATTATTTTTATATGATAACCCAATTAACATAATTTAGTGTTCATTTTTATAATAGATATACAGCACACGTTTCTAGATTATGCTCTTGTAAAGACATGGAGAGAAAAGATAATCAAAGACTGCTGTCTCAATACAAACTGGGGCCAATGTACCTACAAAAAAAGAAGCCACATTTGAACAATGGAAATTTACAAAATTAGTTTATGCGTCGTTCCCTCGAGCAGAAGACTTCTCATGGCCAATTAGATGGCTGAACACACGGTGTTCTGCTGGAATTAAGAGCACTTCTTATTCAAAGCCTCAGATTAGAAGTCAGGGAGCATTTCTTCCAGGGAAGTGATCAGAGGTTGGCAAAACTGTCCGAACATAGGAATTCATTTCCCGTCTTGCAACCTCTTGGAGGAAGTCCCTCTGCATGCTCGGCCTCATATTGCTCTGCAGCCTCCATAGCAAAGCTCTTCAAGCAAAAAAAGAGATTTACCTACATTTTAGGTATCTTTCCCTCAGTGTTGTAATCAGTGAAAATGATCGACGGCATTCTGATTTTTTTTCAAATTCAGTACATCTCTGGAGAAACCCTCGCTGCACACAGGATGCAGCCGTTTTCTACTAATGTTGTTGAGAAAATACAATTTCTTCTCCTATGATTCTGTCTCTTGCTCTTACCTTAACTACATCTAACTAACATGCTCCTCATTCTCACTTCTTGTCTTTGGAGTTTACTTGGTTTCCTTTACCCAGACCCCACTTTTCTCACCATTTTCTGTAATGTTACCAAGGGGGCTTGAAGGCTTTTTGAAAGGCTCAATAATACAGAGGTCATTTTTACTTCAAGACTGTGCAAAGTACTGTGTCGTGGGGGTGTTTTTTGAAGGCTGGTTTGAGACGGATGGGGGATCTGGTTTCCAGCACTGGCCTGTCCACCTGTACTGAGACAGGTTAATTGCCTCAGGACATGACCGCTCACTGTCACAGCTTCTCTGGTGAGAGAACTTGATGTGCTACGAGAGAAGGAGAGGGATTTTTATGCTTTCATTATGACCACTGGCGCTTCTGGTGAAATGGCTCTGGACAGGGTAAAGCATGATCACTCAGTACAAAAGAGAGAGAGATGTGTTGGAGACATGCACAGCCACTCTCCCAGGAAATCCATTTGTTTTCTAGTTAGTGTAGCTAAAAATGAACAAGCTGTGAATAAAACTGTTTTTGTCTCTGTTAAAAGACACTGGTGGTTCTGTGGGTCATTTGTCTAATTGCCACAGATGCGTTTGGCCCCTTGCCACATTGTTAACAACATTTCAGTGGAGCTGCATGGACGTGTGTGTGTTATGTGTGTGTATGGTCTTTTGCATTTTAAGTAGATTTAGGAAGACCAACCGTTCTTTAGAACAATACATTATGATAAAAAACCGTTTCGAAACCAAATACTTGCTTAATGTATTCTAAAATAGTACAATATTGACACAGTAAAATGCATGCTATATTCTAGTCATTGATCTATTATTTTGTTTACTTCCTTTAAACAATACAAAGGTGAATCAATTCTCAATACGGAAGAGACATATTTATTTTTTCCATGTTGTTAATTCTACAGAGAGTAGACGGACTCCTTTTTTCTTTTTTACAGCTATGCCTCTCTCTGTCTGCCAACTCAATTAACTGCAGATCACGTTATACATGTTATTTAAAAAAGAAAGCTTGGCCGATTTGAACAAGAACTCCATCTTCAATTCTATATTTTTTATTTTGACAAAAGATAATTGTTAAAGAATATTTTCCTAGCAAAAACATGAAACATTCTCCTGTTACACCTCCTCGGTTTGAAAACATTTCAACTTTGGCTTGGGATGTTAGAAATTGTGACGGACATTTTTCACAATTCTCTGACTTTTTCAGATTTCTCAGATGATTGCAGGTTTATTTTTTCTGATGTTTGCCATTTAAAGTAAATCACTCGACAAAGCTTTCTTGTATCTGCTGTCACATCTTTCATAAATATATTAACTTTTTTGTTTAGTTTTTTAACCTGTCCAAATGTTGCAATGACTTTACTATTATAAAGACTTTACACTGACAGCATAAACATACTGCTATTCACCTGACTTTCAAAAAATAATCATTGAAAACTGAAATGTTTTGTTGCAACATTGATTGAAAGCGACTATTACTGGGATTCATTAGATGTTTTACTGCAACTTTACAAGGTTTTTTTTGACGCACCGCTCTCATACTCATTTTCAGCCACAGCAGAAAGAAGTTTCCCACCGTGCGCGCTATACAAATCCACTGTACACGTCACGAGGGATTCACCAATTATCGTTTAAAAAATAAATAAAGAATGGTGTCATCATTTTGAATAACACAGTCCTACACAAGTCTAGGCTTAAATGCCTTCAAGTATGTGTTAGATTAAATGCCGCTAATTAATCTTCCAATTGCTGACACCTTCTCTGCATTCATTACAGACTGCCATCCAGGTGTTGGTTGAGTTTGAGACCAATCACAAGTGGTCACTGCAGACAGAGAGAGGGCCAACTTAGTACCGTTTTCAGTACACTTATTTTATTGGCTAAATAAATAACTAAGCTGAAAATCACAAAAGGCTGAATGTCAAAGCTGAAAGCTGGTCTCTCCCTGCTTTACACTACCTGCTGAACACCATTCAGCATCTGAAAAGCCACATTTTCACTTATTGAGTTGGTAGAGAGTAGAGACCAAAGATGGAGCTAACAGACAATATTGGATTCATCAGATGGACAGAAATGCGACTCTGACATGAACAACACTGTTGTTGGTGTAACTGCTGGATGCATGAATGAAAAACAGGTTGGTTCTTTGTCTCTGACAACCAAAGCTGACGTTTATAGTTACTCTTTCTTTAGTGTGTGTGTGTGTGTGTGTGTGTGTGTGTGTGTGTGTGTGTGTGTGTGTGTGTGTGTGTGTGTGTGTGTGTGTGTGTGTGTGTGTGTGTGTGTGTGTGTGTGTGTGTGTGTGTGTGTGTGGGTGGGTGGGTGTTTTATAACATCAAACAATGCATTTGGATATAGTGAACAATGGCTGCACCAGTTGTAGGAAAATAGTGTTCTGACTTCCCTGTTTTAGTTTCCTCGTGCTTTACTGTACTAGTTAATGTTTTGTTTGTCCCCGAATTACATTCCCAACCTGAGTATTTATGAGGTGAAGGGGTAGAATGTGTTGCGTTGGCTGTTAGTAAACCCCTGAAACCTGAGATCACCTGAGTTTCATCATCATCAAGCCTATATTGAGTTTAGGTATTGCTATATTTCCCCAGAAACACTAAATGGCAGTAAAGACATGATCTGTTTGTTTCCTATAATCTGGTTACGCCAGTTGACTGACCAGCACATCCTGTGAGAGAGATACAGAGATGCCTATGCCAGGGCACACGGACATCCTTTTTGCTCTTTTACACACGCACGCACGCACGCACGCACGCACACACTGTACAAAGTATTGTATAAAACACAGGGCCTGCGCTCAGATGTTATTGATATGTGTAATCATGGAGTACCCCACTCTAATGGAGGAAGAGTCAATGCCTCTCAGGAAGTCTGGCCTTTTGAAATGTCACGGTCCTTTCAGAGGACTATCCTTTAAAAGGCAGACGTCAGTCCTTCTTCTTCCACTTGTCTGTCGCTCCTTTTTCAGCCGATGTTCTTTCTTTTAGCACTCCAGATTTCACCTTCTTTTTTGGAATCATCTGGAAACTTTTGATGTCACAATGTGCTTTTTTGTCACAATGTGCTTTTTTATTCTGGCACAGGTAAGAAGGAGTCACAATGCACTGACTGTTGAAGGTGCAGTTTCACACCACAGGTACAATGAAAAACTGGCACTGTCTGAGCCAAAGGACTACAAGCTGTCATGTAAAGTGAATATAGTAGAACCCGTACATGTTAGTCTAAATACAGCCTGATAAAACATCCCATTTTATTTTCATGTACCCCAAATAAATTGAGTTATTTCTTTTAAATTCCTAATTTGTTAATTAGTTAATTGTCATGGAAATATTCCAAAAGATTTACATCACTTATCTATGACCAAGGAAATCATAAAAACCTTATTTTATTGGAAGCCAAATCCAACAAAAGTACAGTGTTTTACTTCAAAAATAGTATAATAGTAGGGGTGTAACGGTTCACAGAATTCATGGTTCGGTACGTACCTCGGTTTGGGGTTCACGGTTCGGTACAACAAGAAAAAGTCCCAAATGCATAATTCCAGGTTTGTTGTTATTTCTTTTTGAACAGTAGTGCAAGTTTCAGTTTAAAAATAAGGACCTCTAACATTTTGAATAATTAACTGTATTACACTGTTAAAAACAAACCACAAATAGATGGCCATTATTATCTATAATGGCTGATGTCAAACAAAAAGGTTCAATAAGCTGTAAAACTAAAAAGAATGTCTTGAAAATATTACAAAATAAATAATAAAGTGTTTCAAGGGCGCATAGCCGTTGAAATATATATGCCAACAGCTTCCGTTATTTATTTTGGTATCTCGGCTGTCATGTCTATTGGCTTCTTAAAAACAGCGGGGATAAGCTGTTGAACTGCTGTTGTCTTTTGCCGGGCTCCGGTGATTGGCAAATCTGGGTGATGCCTTCTGATATGATTTAGGATTGGCGTGTGTTACCATTAGCATACTGCACCGCTGTCTAACAACGCCGACACACCTTCCTTGTCTGATCCACCACTCGCACTCCATCGTTATTGTAGTCCACAGGGAACCCGAAATGTTCCCACACAGCTGATTTTAAAAGAAGCAAGTGGGTCTTCTAGCTCCTGTGTGTTATCTAGAGCTGTATACGAATATCCGAATATTCGTTCGTTGGAGTACTATTCGGGTTTCAATTTCGTTATTCGTTTTGTTTGTTTTTTTGTTTTTTCCCCCATTTTTTTTCTCAAATTGAATTTATTGAAATCTCCAATATCAACGTAAGAGCTTGTTCGGGGGCTGCTAACACTTAACCATAAACGTTATAGTTTACTTTCTCCGTCTTTATATGTAGATATTACTTTTCTCCGTTAATCTCCGTCACGTTGTTTCCAAAGCAACAACAACTTCCTGTCAACAGCGCTACCTCTCCTTCAAAATAAAAGCATGTCCATAAATAGGAAGCCAAGCCAAATTACACTTAAGACATATACAACTGCAACGAAAGTAACAAACACAATGCAATATCCTTTTCAATTTCCTGAAATCTCGCTGCTGATTACTACCGAATATCCGGAGCCCGAAAAATTGTATTTGGGACAGCCCTAGTGTTATCTGAAATCGCCATACTAACTTTTCTTCTTCTTGTATTTTGTTTGTTTTGTTGTTTTCTTCTTGTTCTTCATTTGTTTTTTAAGGGCGGCTGGCAAACAGCTTTTAGGCGCAATACCGCCCCNCATTCTTTTTTCCAGGCCTCTGACCTAAAACACCTTTAACAAACAATTGACTGGCGATGGAAGTGGAAGTGCTAAAATGCTAGCTAATTTCCAAGTTTTAGGACTCATTTCTGCAGCTCTTAATGGGACCTAGAGTAAATATTTCACTGAAGAAAACAAAGAAGGGTTTCAGGGTTTTCTCACCAGTTGTTTAAATGTTTTAAATACATTTTAAGATATTGATTAAGGCCTTTTATAAGATGATGTTTATTTAATTTCTCCTCATCTTTCTCTGTTTTCTCCCAGAGGAATCTGACGAGGTCACACGAAGATAGCCAGACCTCAAGAGCCGAGGGATTTCTGTTCCAGGCGCTGTTCTGTTTTCATGCTGCCTGCAGGTCAGCACATCGTCCAGTCACACACTCAGGGAGCTTAATGGGATCACTTTGATAGTTAAAGGGAATAAAGTCACAAGTGCAATTCGTTTTCCATTGTTTATGATCAATCTTAAAGGGGACCTCTCATGCAAAATGCACTTTGTGATGTCTTTTATACATAAAGATGTGTCCCCGGTGTGTCAGGGAACTCACGCAGCGTCAGAAAATAAAACCCCCTCTCTTTTCCTCCGTACCCAAATCTCTAAAAACGGGGGAACAACGGAGCTGATCCAGATTTGCGTCCGATATGACGTAATATCTGAAATGTGGACCCACGGCCCTATCAGAAAAGTNACCATTTACCATTTAGCTCTTAATGGGACCTAGAGTAAATATTTCACTGAAAACATTTAAACAACTGGTGAGAAAACCCTGAAACCCTTCTTTGTTTTCTTCAGTGAAATATTTACTCTAGGTCCCATTAAGAGCTAAATGGTAAATGGTAAATGGACTGTACTTATATAGCGCTTTATCCAGTCTTTAAGACCCCTCAAAGCGCTTTACATACTACATGTCATTCACCCATTCATACAGAGCAGTGTACCTTACTCTAGGACCTAACATTCACACACATTCACACACCGTTGGCCATGCCATCGGGAGCAACTCAGGGTTAAGTATCTTGCCCAAGGATACATCGACATGTTGACTGCATGGGCCGGGATCGAACCCACAACCTTCTGGTTGAAAGACGACCACACTCCCTCACAGCCACAGTCGCCCTACAGAGCTGCAGAAATGAGTCCTAAAACTTGGAAATTAGCTAGCATTTTAGCACTTCCACTTCCATCGCCAGTCAATTGTTTGTTAAAGGTGTTTTAGGTCAGAGGCCTGGAAAAAAGAATGTGGTTAACACACAATACTCACATTTAGTTCTATAGATGAGTAAAACCTACGTGACTTCCAGGCGAAAATTACAGCCCGCCCACTTTTGGGGGGAAATAACGCTGTCATTTGAATGGCGGTCAATACAAATTCTGAAGTTTTTGCCAATCTGATCAGAAATGTAAGAAAACTGTGGAATTTTGGATCTTCAAAGAGGCCGATTACAATGGCCAGTCAGGCAAACAATGAGATTAAATCATTGGAAATCCACGGTTTTCTTACATTTCTGATTGGATTGGCAAAAACTTCAGAATTTGAATTGACCGCCATTCAAATGACAGCTTTGTTTTCCCCCAAAAGTGGGCGGGGCCGTAATTTTCGCCCAGAAGTGACGCATGTGTTACTCCCATCTATGACATAATCATGCTGAACATTAGCTGCCTTTAGCTTAGCGGTGGGGACTTGAAGTCATTTGACCTTGATGTAGTTCCTTTATAGCATAATGTTAACTATTTACTTCCGAATGTTGCATTTGTGCTTTAAAAAAATCATAAAAGTGGTGTTAATATGTAAAAATGATTCTGCTGAACAATTCATAAATATCATAAATGTGTGTTTGCCAGAGTTTATTTTCTGTAATAATCCAAAATACAATGGAAAAATCTGTCACTCTATTGACACCTGGTACAAAGACATATACTTTTCTTCTATTTCTATAGTGACATGATGGCATGCCACCCAGTCACATCTATCTGACAGTTGCGTCCCTGTCCCTGTAACACGTGTGATGCTCAAGTCTATAAAAAAAAAAGAAGACAGCATTGAAGGACAGCTAGAGGGAAAAAACGACATTTGTTCTATCATGGAAGAATGAAATCCCCCTGGATCCCACCTGTCAATCAAATAGGTAGCGTGTGACACTTTTATAGATAGAATCAAAGTCAGATATGTCGGTGTCTTTTTTTAACGCACTCTGGAGAATCAACGAAAGATAAAGTATCAGTCTTCTTTAGTGTTTTTAATCTTTGTGGATCAAACAAACTCACAGCGATTCCACGATGAGGATGAGAGGGTACTGGCAGCTCGGGGAATCTCTTAGTGATGGCTTCAATCAATCCTTCTATCTTCCCGTAAAGCACCGGTCTGGACTGGTGGTTCAGTCTGGAGGATTCAGAGGGGCAGCACTTTCACAAAGGAAACACCTCACATTCAATTACACAGCGCTGTATGACTGTTTTAAGTAGGTGGAGGAGATGTTGTGTGTGTGTGTGTGTGTGTGTGTGTGTGTGTGTGTGTGTGTGTGTGTGTGTGACTAATGGTATGGATTTGCCAGTGGCTTTTTCAAGCGTCCTTGCCTACATCAATATCTCTGTGTGTAAGGCAAAGTGTCTCTGAGTTTGTGTTTACTATTTACCTTTGACATGGTGCTGGTGTTCACGCTTATATATGTGTGTGTACTGTCTTGTGTGTGTTCATGGTTGACCCAGTAATTGACTGTATGAGAAACTGGCTGGTTCATAGTCCAACTTTGATTGTTTCCATACCTCTCATTATTACAGAAATGCCTCCAAGGACTTTCTGAGAACAATCATAGCTTTTATATTCATGGCTTTGACACTTATTCTTACCTATAGTCTTATTTCTGTGGCAAATATCTTTGTTATTTTAGTATTTTATTTTAAACTTTATTTACAGGGTATAGTTACAGGCTGATAAACAATTTTTATTTTTGAAAATAATATTTTATCAATTTGATCCTGTTTTTCCTCAAGTTTTAAATGAAAAGTCTAGTCATCTCAATCTTATATTAGTAAAATAAACACTGCACAATACAAAGTGTCCTTGACAATATGTATTTACATGCACGTATATGTAAAGCAGTGTGTTTTTGTGTGTACCTGAACAGTACAGATGCGGCGCTGGCAGCCTGTGTGGCCACCTTCAGACAGGAGAAGGAGACTCCAGCTGACACCACCTCAGCAACCGCCGCAAATCCTGAAGCACCAGGGAACAGACGCTCGCTAGGGGGCTGCCTACACACACACACAACACACACACACAAACACATAAAGCACCACCCACAAAACAAGGTCAAGTGGAGTTGTTAACAGACAGAAATGTATGAAATTGTAGCCCAATAGAGTGCCACAGTGACGAGTCCTAAAACCAGGAAGTAAACTCCTTCCGGGTCCTTCGACAAAAACACAATGCAATTTCTCCTGGAAATAAGGTCTGTGGTTGAGACACATTTAAGAAGCGGATCAGTTTTGTTCAGCCGGATAATATCCACATAGGTCTACCCTCCTTTTATAATTTCTAATCATAAATCTAGTCGCCAGAAGCAAAATGCTAACGCTATGCTATAAACGAACTACAGCAGGGTCGCTGCTTCAACGTCACGCCAACTTAAGATCCATATTCAAAACTACAGATTCTAAATGGTACAAGTTGAAGCATTTGTTTCAACAGTTTGCAGGAGGCAGGTACTTGCTTTCAAGCAGAATAGAGGAAAAAACAAACTTAGCGGGAGTGTTTTACGTGTTCGGCGTAATGACGTACAACGGCCTCGACAACTTCTGTAGTCCTATTCAGCCACTTGGTAACAACCATCGTTTTTCAGACACATAAACTCTTCAGAAATCACCAGTGGGGTCACCCCTGAACAAAACGTGATCTGTCTCTTCAATGTGTCTCAACCTCAGACCTTATTTCCAGCTATTTTCCAAAATCCTATGGAGAAATTGCATTGGTTTTATGTCGAAGGAACCGGAAGTGGTAAAATGCTAACTTACTTCCGGGTTTTAGGACGCGTCACCGTGGCACTCTATAGTCCTAAGAACTGGGAATAAGTTGGCATTTTAGCACTTTCAATTACACAATTGTTTGTAATTGTTTTTGGTAAGATGCCTGAAATAAGGTCTCTGTTAAGACAAGCTGAAGAGATTCAAACAAAGTTAATACCCTACTGGTGAATGTCTGAAGCTTTTATGTGTCATAACAATGGCTAAGAAGTGACTAAATTAGACTACTAAACGTTATTAGGCCAAACATTAGCCACCTATAGCTTAGCAGTGGTGTCTTAAGGTCATGTGACCATGTTGTTTGTTTATAGCCAAACATTAGTCTTTTACTCTTCGAGATTGCATTAACGCGTCAACAATAGGAAAAGTGTTATTAATATGTGGAGATTATCCTGCTGAACAAAACCGGTAAGTATCTTAAATGTATGTTTGCCACAGATCTTATTTTCTGCATGTAATCCAAAATATAATGAAAGATTATATTGGCTTTTTGTCGAGGGAGCCCTTGTGATGCTATCTTCTGGGTCTGCCTGCACGAATACATCATCACTACACCACTCCTGTAAGCCTGACAAACAGATCCTAGAGTAGGCAGAATAAAGTGCATCTGTGATAAATTCTTCTGGAATAGCTGTTGTAAGCAGATAAAAAATGTCAAAATGGTTAAAAATGGTACGGTAATATTGATCCGAGATGAGTCAGTGAGAACTAGGCCAAATATGTTTTGCAAAGCGAGCGCCCTTTCATAAGTTCACCGATATTAGTTTTGACATGGATGTCAATAAAGGCCGTCAGGAAGCCGGGGCCGCCTGTTCTCCGGGCCGCTCTATCCGTCATGCTCCCGCTTGCTTTGCCAATACCAGCAGTGAATGTTTGCTGAGTCGCGACAAACCCGCCCTCCCTCTGTCTCACTTGCATACACACACACACACTCATTTTCTTTGACCTATTGGTGGTACAAAGATCACCAGGAGCTGTGGACTGGCTAACTGTTGCCACAACACCAGTTACATGGAACATCCTAAATAACACATCCATGCATATAAAAAGGTGTACGCAAACACACATACACAAACACACACACACACACACACACACACACACACACACACACACACACACACACACACACACACACACACACACACACACACACACACACAAACACACACACACACACACACACACACACACACACACACACACACACACCACACACCCCCCCCTCACACACACACACACACACAAACACTTCTCCGCCTCATTCTATTTTCATTTACTCGTTCGTTATCTGACCAGCTTCAATCTTGTAGGCTACTCACTTCGTTTCTTGTAGCCCTCGAAAGGGTTTTGGAGGTTGATGCCTCGGTGAGCGTGAGTCGTTTGGCTTTCTTGTCCGCAGCAGCAGAAAGCATTTTCGAATGTTTGAATGAATCAAAGTGGGTCGTCACCGTCGATTTTCTCTTATGCTCCAAAACACAGTTGCACGGGGTGCAGAATAGTTTCCCCCCACTTTTTGCCCGGTCTTTAGTAGAAATGTTCGTCGGTAAATGAGATGGATTAGATTTTTTCATTTTGGTGTTTTTTCTATCGTGTGAGCTCCACACGTTCACTCTATACAGTGTTGTTTACATTCTGTGATGCGCGAGCTGATGACGTCACGTCAAGACGAGTTAACTTTTTTTTCTCTCAATTTTGTGTGGAAAAATGCGGGGATTATGCGGCCTTTTGAGAAATATGCGGCCTTTTAAAATTCTGCGCCATTTTGCTGATTATGCGGTAAATTCTGCGATCGCAGAATCGCGTTTTTCTGGAGGGTCTAATTATATCATATAATATAAAATTGTATTTTGCATTTATTTATATTATTTTATATTGAATTATAGTTTATTTTGTATTATGTTTTATTATATCATATTTTATTATATTATATTTTATTACATTATATAATGTTAAATTATATTATATTAGTTTTTGTCTTTCATCCCAATTTTTGAAATTGTTTTTGTTAAAGCAGCATGTAAACAGATTATCATAACTATGGAATTCATAGTGTAAATAGGCCTATACAGAATAAGTCTGTATAAACTGGTAAACTAATTATACACATATATACTAACATTATAAAAAAGATAAGATTAAAACAATTAAAAGCAGCTAGCTACCACTCTGTTGTGTGTGTGTGTGTGTGTGTGTGTGTGTGTGTGTGTGTGTGTGTGTGTGTGTGTGTGTGTGTGTGTGTGTGTGTGTATATTTTTGCGTTTGTGTGTATTGTGTTTGTTTCCCGGAGAAAACACTNCCCAATTGCTTTTACAATAAATAAACATTGAATGTGTTTAATTGAATAGTAAAGGGGTTTAACGTTAGTGGCAGGTTGTGTGTGAGAGAGAATAAATCTTATTTATTCTCTCTCACACACAACCTGCCACTAACGTTAAACCCCTTTACTATTCAATTAAACACATTCAATGTTTATTTATTGTAAAAGCAATTGGGCTATTTTAATCTCTCTCACACACACACANATAGATTTTGGTGGATAGGTTCAGTCCGTCTTGGAGAATAGGCACACCAAAGCATTTTCATTTTGGACTATAGGGGGCGCCAAAAACACCACCAATTTATAAATTGGTGGTGTTTTTGGCGCCCCCTATAGTCCAAAATGAAAATGCTTTGGTGTGCCTATTCTCCAAGACGGACTGAACCTATCCACCAAAATCTATGATATATGGATACATTGTTGATGAGTTATGAGCATTTATTTCTAAGCCTTTGCTAGTACGTTTTGATTCATGGCGGCAATATTTTTCTACGTTAATGTGTATAACCCTCCGCCGATGCTGTATACGAAGTTTGGTGTTCAAAAATAGAAAATTGAAATTTAAGTGAATATTTCACTGTTTTGAACATTATGCTAATTAGAAAAAAATAAAAGGAGGCGGAGCTTAGGGGTCCAAGAGGATTATTTGTAGAACAGGTCCACCCGGATATGTGTGCAAAATTTCAGGTCATTCGGAGTTACGGTGCGACTTTGTAAATTTATTCCGAAATGGGTTTTTCATAGGTGGCGCTAGCAAGCACCTTGGACAATTTGAACCCATTGACTCCAGAATGTTGAATTTTTCACGGGTCCTGGCGTCCGGGCAAAATTATACAACTTTGTGAGCGTTCTAAAGCCCTCAAAAACAGGAAACGCCAGCAATATAATAAGAAGAAGAATTCCACCAATAACAATAGGTTCCTCGCACTTCGTGCTAGGACACCGTTGGGGTCCTAGCACTCCGTGCTCGGGCCCTAATAATAATAATTCCACCAATAACAATAGGTTTCCTCGCACTTCGTGCTAGGACGCCGTTGGGTCCTAGCACATCGTGCTCGGGCCCTAATAATAATAATTCCACCAATAACAATAGGTTTCCTCGCACTTCGTGCTAGGACGCCGTTGGGTCCTAGCACATCGTGCTCGGGCCCTAATAAGTACTCCATGGTGTTTTCTGATAGATAGATAGATAGCTAACGTTAAATTGACATGACTTCATTCTGAGGATTGATATGACAGCACATACTGTAGTTCCTCGATCAGAGCCTCCTCCTCCTTCGCAATGGTCCACAAGTGAAAAATATCAGGATTCCTCCCTCACCTCTTTTTAACCACAACGCAAATTAACAGAGACCTGGGCTTTTATTGTGACATCAGTTGTTTTGTCTACTACTTATCTCCTCCATGATATCATTTCTAAATACTTAACAGACTGCTTCAATTCATTTGTCTGTATTCTGTTTGATAATCCAGAAACACAGTGCATGTCTCCAAATGTCTAGCTAACATTTCATCGTTATCAGTGAAAGAATGCAGTAGCGCCAGATGGCAGCCAAATGCTAACTCCTGTTTGGCTTGCATGTCCCATTAATAAGGTCTTTAAAAAATCTCATGATTTTCCTTTCCCTTAGTATTGTGGATGTCGTTAATTCAAAGCCAGATATCCTTGAAGTTTCAAACGTTTTCAAAGCAATTCGGCGCTGAATGTAAGTTGTCGATGTTTGTTGAGGCTCCTTGGTACATTTTCAAGTGAGTGAGTCAAGTAAGTTCAAATGTTGTCTCTAGTGGAGGACAGGAGGCAGGGGAAGCAGGTAAATTACGATATTTTTGTCTTTCGCTAATTTTGACGCAAGATTTGTGATTATAACATTTCTGGAAATGTCAGTGTAAATTAAAGTATTTCAACTTTTGC